GTTTTCCAAGGAGCTGGCTCCAGTAAAGGAGGAGCAGCGCCCTCTGCTGATGAAAGGTGAGAATAAAAAGCTTACAGCACCGGGTATTCCCAGGCAGTCTCCCATCCAAGTACTGACCCCGACCCTGCTTAGCTTCCAAGATCGGACGAGATCGGCGTATTTTTTTTTTTTTTTTATCTTTTATTATCAAAAATACAGTTAATATAATAAAAATACATTACATTTTGCATCATAAATCTCACAATGCTTCATTCCATATTCAATGTACATTATTGTATCTACGTTGTTTCATCACAACACCAGGCTCCTTACTTAGCAAAAACACCTTAAATTTAAGATGAGGGCTATCATTGTCCCCTCTTCCTCTCATCATCCATGCAAACAAACTGTAAATCAAAAATACCAGGTGCGCATAGTAACAGTCCAGCACAATCAACTCATGGAGTATTATCAGCTAATGTTGCACATTCATAAATCCCCACCATAGTCCTTATAATTTTGCTCATACTTTACCTTACATCAACATGACTATATCAAACCCACATCATCTCAAAAGTACAAGTATTTTATATATTCATTACATTGAATTGAGACCTTACCATGTTCATTTTTGTTTTTGACATTAGACACTCTTACAAATTGTACACATCTAATTTAGACATGTCTAATTATGGTCATCTTACCAGCTGGTAGAGTCATTATCCACCCTCATATCATATTATAAGTTGACAGCTCAAACTGTTTAATAAGACCATATCATTATATTCCCACACACATTTAACCCCACCTCCATTGCAGTTTACCGCTCTCCGCAAGAGAAACCAGACAATTGTCCGAAAGTGAGGGCAAGGGGAGATTCTCATTGCTGTGTACGTTCCAATAATTAATCTGTTTCATTACTATCCTTTTGAATATTGGCCATATTTCCACTATTTTCTTTTCGTGGTAGGCTATGTCCCTTCTAATTTTAATTGCCCTCCTAGCCTGACTCAACAGGAATTTACACAGCAGGATATTTCTCACCTTGCTCTCCTTCCACACACCAAACAGAATACATTTAAACCAACAATCAACATCATCCCACACCATGTACAGTTTCTCTTTTAACAATGTTTGGAGTTTGGCAGTGAAGCTCAGCAATTCATCACATTCACAGTACCAGTGCATCATTGTT